GTTAACACATCAATATCATATAAATTTTGGATTATAAATTATTTAAAGTTTAACATTTATATAGTTGTTCTCTCTCACAAATATTCAAGTATTATCTATCAAAAATGACTATCTAATTTATTCAGGCTGACCTCAGATTAGATTTGTCGCCTATTTGAGTTGGTATGACATTTTAACATATTTTGATTAATAAAATATATTTTAATATATATATAATCTGTTACTCAATCTGTTAATTAGAAATTGTTGAATCGGCAATACGTGCTTTAAGAGAATATTAAAGCACAACGTGAAATACTGGTGAGAGTTAACAGATTGGTGATAGGAAAATGTTCCTAACTTTTTGTAGCTAATTTTGATTGCTTCCAAACATCTTGGGTGAGACGAGTCTATTCGTACCCAATTTAAAACATCTCATAACAGACAACAACTCTAGTCAATATGCATTGATTTTTCTCCGACATCTTTTCCTCTTTCATTATTTGCTGTAGTGAATGTGAATCTTTTACGAGGGACCTAAGGCCACCTTGAAAAGTTGCCATGGTTTTAAAACCCAGACTGGCTCGACCAGTTTAACTGGTTGGATCGGGACCCGGGGCCTTCTCCGGGTTGGGTTACCCTTTCAACTGTTTCAAGTTTGAAATCTAGCAAACACACCCCTGATTAATACGCATCAGTCCCTTAAGGTTTGAAATCTAGCAAACACACCCTCTAGCGAAATGCAAATCGGTGATGACCTCCCCTTTTTTGGTGGCCTTCCACCTTCCCTTACTGTCAGAAACCACCTTCTGACTTTCTCTGGGGCCGTGATGCTTCATCTCCTGCCGCCGCGTGATATTTTGTTGTCCAACAATTTTACTTCCATTTCCCAGTGTCGATTGGCCCTCTCCGACATTGATAGGCCTCCTCAGCCATCGATCTACCTTCTCCCAAGCTCTTGCCGTCGTTCACGAAGATCCACAATCATCTCTCGAAAAAAAGCCACTGCGGCCGTTTGACTTCCACCACTAATCTACAATTTTCCGGCGATACCTCAACTTGCCAACTACCGATTCATCCTCCCCATCACCCGATCTACCCTCCTCGGTGCGTCGCTACTGCTCTCCTAGTCGATCGCCGATTTGCATTTGGCCAAGTGTTGTGTTTGCTAGATTTCAAACCTATAGGGTCTGATGGTATTTATTAGGGGTGTGTTTGCTAGATTTTAAACCTGTCAAACATTGGTTAAACCGCTGGTTTAATAGTTAACCAGTGACCTGATTGCCTGAATGGGCCACCTCCCGAGTCGGGTTTTAAAACCTTGAAAGTTGCTCTCAGCAATTAATTATCGTTCATGTAAGAGAACTCTATGATGCATGATGTTATGCCTAAAAAATCAGGGCTGATGTAAGCCTACATCAGTTAGCTCCAATCAGAGTTCAAGAAGGCTTTGCGTTGTCTAGGGATGCATCTAAGAGCTGTTATGTCATCCCAAGACAAAGATGTTGGGTTTGGATTACCCATTTTAAGTGCAGCGGAATGATTTACCAAGTTGATTAAGAGATTTCTAGTTTTTAACCACATCAAACACAAGTGCAGAAAGTAAAGAACATAGCCACATACATGGTTTAGCTAAATCTACTTTTAGCCTACATCCATGGGGCCTCGTCCAGATAAAAGCAAATCCACTAATCAACAAACATTACAAGATATAGTTCAAAGTTGATCTAAGATACAGTAAAAAGAACTCACTGTTCAACTTTATACTTAGCACCACACTCTGAATATCTAATGTCTTGTTGCACCATAGATCTCTTCACACCAGGTTCACTCCTAGAAAACGCTTGAGCTCCACCCAAGTTTCAGTCGCTGAAGACACACTCCAACATCAGCAAAGGAACCACATTCCAGCTACCATTCAACAATGAAGATAAACAAGAAGGTTTCTAGCACAAACCCATATAAAAGAACCTAACCAAGAACAACTCTCTGAAAAATTCAGAGCACCAACGAAATAGATATTTAGTTTCAAAAAGAAAAACAAACAAGGAAGAAGATGAACTTTCTTTTAGCTTAACAAAGATGAAGGATGATAAGCGTTTAGCACAAAATCATATAAAAAATCTCTGAAAGTTTCAAAGCGCAAGGCAAAAAAAAAAAAAAAAAAAACATAAAGGTTAGTTCACAAATGAACAAGAATGAAGAAGATATAGATCAATTTCGTGCTCCCCAATTCTTGCCAAGTCAGCAAACAGGGGCTAACATATGTTGGTCCAAAAATGAAAAAGATTCCATCTATTTTTTGGGACCACAACCAAAAAAGGAAAAAGGTGATTTTCCCTAGGCCACTAAAGAATATTGGGACACTTGTAAGTGGTCCAAATGATAGCACAAAAGATGCAAACAAAATATCTTAGCTGTTAAGGATAAAAATGCAACTTATGAAAAATGAGTCAGACATGCGATGTTAGCACAGCAGAAAGGTGTGCACACACACAAAGTAAAATGCGAAATGAAATGCAACATGCATATGTCTGACATAAGTGTGCAAGCACACATCCATTGTGAACACACATGAAATGAAAATGTAAAAGGCATAAGCCTGACAGTCGAACACGTGGAGGACAAAAAGAATTCCAACTTTTTGTTGGACTACAAACATATCTTTTCTCTTTCTTGGGGGACCATAGACAAAGCCTTACAACCTTTTAGGACCACATAAGGAAATTGTGACACATGTAAAGTTAGGTCACACAAGAATATCATGAATCAAAATAAACTTGATAGGCAAGACCAATGTTTTGAAACCCGAATCGGACCAAGCAGTCAAACAGGTCGGACTGGGTTTCGGTGAAGTTTTCGAGTTGTAAAGAGTACAAAACCAGGATTTTGAGTTAGGCTGTTTCAAACCGTGGTTGGACCGTCTCACTGTAGCAAACCGACGGTCCAACTGGTATAACATCTACAACTGGTCCAACCTCCCATCCGGTCCACTAACAAATTGAAAAGCAAACCCTAAGGTCAAAGTGTCAAACCAATTTTTTTAAGTTTAACCCATTTTTATTTTTGCTTTTGCGGTTCAGTTGCAGCGCTGCTACTTTGCTCTGCGATCTCCTTCAGCTTGGCCCTCCTCCAATTTGCTTTTTTTTTTTTTTTCAGTTTGGCCCTCCTCCATTTCAGTTCAGTCCTCCTCCTCCATTTGCGATCTCCTTCAGCTTCAGCCTTCAAGTGTGAATCAGCCTGCTTCTTCAGTTTGCCTCCTCCAGTTTAGTTCGTAATCTCCTCCATTTGCGATCTCCTTTAACTTTAGCCTTCAAGTGTGAATCAGCTTGCTTCTTCGGTTTGCCTCCTCCAGTTCAGTTCGCGATCTCCTCCATTCGCGATCTCCTCCATTCACGATCTCCTTCAGCTTCAGCCTTCAAGTGTGAATCAGCGGTCAGCCTGCTTCTTCCTATTTCTTCCCTCAAGTGTGGATCAGCCTCTTCCATTCGTGAATCTCCTTCAAGCTTCAGCTTCGCCGTCTAAAAGCCTGCTTCTTCCTATTTCTTCCTTCAAGTGTGAATCAGCCTCTTCCATTCGTGAATCTCCTTCAAGCTTCAGCTTCGCCGTCTAAAAGCCTGCTTCTTCCTTGCCGTTGCTGGTCTGCCAGATTCGTCAGCCACTACTTTAACTTCAGTTCAGAGTTCAGCCTTCACATCTGCCGCTGTCTGCGAGCTACCGTCTGCCATCTGCGAGCTACCGTCTGCCATCTGCGAGTAACAAACTGCTGTAAGAGACTAAGAGTCATCCTATCTTTCTCTGTCTTCTATTTCATCATGATATTGTATATTTGTATTATTTTGGATCTGTGAATGTGATGTGAAAGTGTGAATCACTGAATCTGTCAATTTAAATTTTGAAACTCTTAAAACTGATTTCTTATTGTGAATCTATCATTTGTCAATTGAATTTCTAAAAGACTGAAGCTCTAAAATGTAATTTCTCATGGAAAATTAGAAATTGATGGTGAAAGTTTCACCGTGAAGCTTAATTACAGGATCAGAATAATTGAAAGTGGGAGTTTATTCATGCTGTGATAAACTGATAAATGATAATAACGTAGATGTATTTTCAATTTTCATATAGTTTTTCTTGGCTCCACTACTGGAATTTGGCGAATAATAATAGCCAGCGGGTATGCTTCTAGTTGCTAGGAATACTTGAATTTTTATTAACTTTTATAAGATGCTAATGGCATCTTGATCACACTACGATCAGAAATTCAGAACACGCGATAGCTGCTCTTATTTACTGTCACTTGTTACTTGTATATTAATACCGGCCATGGCTTATGAAATATGAACTAAAACTGAGTTATGATTAGAAAGTGTTTGCTATTGAGATTTATATTTAAACATTTCAATTGTAATAGTCAAATGCAACTGAGAATCCAACATGAGTAACATGATGAGTACAGAAATAAGAAATTTTCTCATTTACATGATGCTGACATAAAGTAAAATGCTATTAGAAATTCATAATTGTTTCTATATACATATATGTGAATTGATTTTTTATTAATTTAAAGTTATGTCTCGTAAATTATAACAAATTGATTGTTGGTTGTCACTTGCTAGGGGAGAGAATGTCATCATCTTTGTCTGCACATAACTCATCAACCGCATCCATTTCCTCGCAATCTTTTCGAGGAAAGACTGATATAGCATGGGGACATGTTCTTGAGAGTGTTTGATAAAGATGGAAAGAAAATATTATCTTGTCTTCATTGTGGCAAGGTTACTAGAGGTGGTGGTATTTTCCGAATGAAGCAACACCTAGCAGGAGTAAAGGGGGATATTGGAAAGTGTCCAAAGGTTCCATTTGATGTTAAATTCCATATGAATGAATCACTAAAAGAAATAGGAGTAAAGAATAAGGAAAAAGAAGATTTTCGGAAGCATGCAACTCCTTTTGGTGCTACAGTACATGAATTTGAGGGTGATTAATTAGATGAAGAAAATGAAGAGGTTTTCCTATCACAAATGACCATGAATGAAGGTGGTAGTAGTGGCGGTAAAAAACAATTTTTGAGCAGTAAGAGAAAGAAACCTACGGGGGTTAATTATTTGGCTCCACGAACTACTGTTGGGTCTCAGCCTTTAATTAGGAGTGTTTTGGCTGGAAAAGATGCAAAGTGGAGAGCAGACATGTCTGTTGCACGATTCTTTTATGATGCTTGCATCCCAATGAATGCTTTAAACTCAATTTATTTTCAGCCTATGTTGGATGCTACAGCTATAATTGGCCCTGGTTATAAACAACCTACCTACGATGCTATGTGTGTGAATTTATTGAGAGATGCTAAGAAGGAAGTCCAATTACTTGTTGACAATTATAAGAGTATTTGGGAAGAGGTTGGATGTACATTAATGGCTAATGGTTGGACTAATACTTGCCATAGGTCATTGATTAATTTTCTCGTATACTGTCCTAAAGGTGTTTGCTTTATAAAATCAGTGGATGCTTCAGATGTTGTAAAGGATGCCTTTACATTGTTCAAGTTGTTTGAGGAAATGGCTTTATGGGTTAGACCAAACAATATTGTCCATGTTGTCACAGATAATGGATCAAATTTTAAAGCTGTTGGAAGAATGTTGTTTGAGAAGTATGAGAATATTACTTGGTCGCCCTGTGCATCACATTGCATAAATTGAATTCTGAAAGATATATCTGAGTTGGACCACATAGTGCATCTTGCAAAACGTGCTTCTGAAGTGACCAAGTTTGTGTATAATCACACAATTTTGATAGCTTGGTTGAGGAAAAGAGAGGTAATAGCTTATAAACCTTTAACTCATGTTTTTGTCAATTTTTTACATAATAAACATTTTCTAATAATTTACTAACATCTATTATGTATGTATCACTTGAACAGGGTTGGAAAGAAATCATACGATCAGGTGCACCTCGGTTTGCTACTACTTTCATTGCATTACGAAGTCTACATGAGCACAAACATGACTTGCAAGCTATGGTGACTGATAGGTTTTATGTGGACTCTCCATATGCCAGAAGTAGTAAAGGCAAGAATGTTATTCCCATAATTCTAGATAATGAATTTTGGGACGACATGGGTTTAATTTCCAAAATTGTGGCTCCTTTGATGCGTTTGTTGTGGATTGTAGACTCAGATGAGAGACCTGCAATAGGATATGTGTATGATGGCATGCATAGATCCAAAAAAGTGATCAAGAAGTTCTTTAAAAAGAAAAAGACATTGTACAAGCCTTATACTGAAATTATTAAGCTGCAATGGGATAGGCTTTTGCGCCGCGACACATTCATGCTGCTGCTTATTAGTTGAATCCAGCTTTTCAATATGACTGTGCAACTTTCTGCAAGAAACCAGAGGCTATGCGTGGTTTCCTTGATGTTGTCGACAATAAAGCAAGTGCATTCAAGTTGAACAAAACAAAGTTAGTGGACGAAAGTAGAATATATCGAGACCGCGAGGAAAGCTTTTCTCGTCAACTGGCCTTTCAAACTTGCAAAACCACATGACCTGGTATGTGAAACTTATTAAATTTCTCAATTTTAAGTCCAATTTCTAAGTTACGAATTTATGTTTATTTCATTATTTCATATGGTTAACAATTTAACTTTCAATTAGATGAATGGTGGAGGACATATGGGTATAGTACTCCACAGTTACAACAGTTTGCAATTAAAATTTTGAGCCAAACTTCAACCTCTTTGGGGGATTTGAGCGAAATTGGAGTGTTTTCAAACGCATCCATAAAAAAGAAGGAATAGATTGGAGCATCAACGGTTGCATGATTTGGTTTTTATCCATTATAACTTGCATTTGAAAAATAGGTATAAAGCATTGAAAATTTTAATATTTTTATTATCTTGTATTTTTATTTGGCGTGTCTTTCAGGATGCGTTACAAGAAAAGCAGTTGTGATCCTATCGATTATGAAAGCATTGACAAAACAGAATTTTGGATTGCTGATGATGAACAGAAGGGTGATGAATTCAATTTAGATGAATTGGAGCAAACACTTTACGAAGAAGGATCTATTCCTATCGGTGTTGATGATCAACCCTATTATGATTCAGCAGGTGGTTCACAAGGTTGTTTTCCAACTTTTAACCAACTTGGTAGCTATTTTAAATTATAATATCAAAAAACAATGTACATTATAAGTTTTAACTTATGTTTTTAATTTTTGCTAAATTTGTTGTTGATGTTGATGATAATGACGATGACTCGGATGATGATGTGGATAATCAATTTAGGATGGGTTGAACCGTTGAAGATCATGGATGGTGGTTTGGTTGGTGGAATGGATTGATATTGTGCANTTTTAATATTGTGTTTTAGTTAGCAATTTATTTAATGCTTTTAATTTCCTGCAAGTAATTAGTTTCCTTAGTTTTAGTCAATCATTTTGCCAATTTCTCTTTCGTTAACTCAAATATACATTAGGTCGTTAGTCTTGCTCTCTGTGGATTCGACTCTGCTTACCGCTAACTACGGTACTTAGGTTTAATTTTGTGACCGTGACGACCGGTCTAACAATGATAAGCATTTAACACAAAAACATATGGGGAACCTTTAAGGAAAAAACTCTCTGAAAGTCAGAGCACAAAGCAAAAATAAACATAAAGGTTAGTTCACAAATGAACAAGAATGAAGAAGATATAGACCAATTTTGTGCTCCCCAATTCTTGCCAAGTCAGCAAACAGGGCTAACATATGTTGGTCCAAAAATGGAAAATATTCCATCTATTTTTTTGGACTACAACCAAAAAAGGAAAAAGATGATTTTCCCTCGACCACTAAAGGATATTGGGACACTTGTAAGTGGTCCAAATGACAACACAAAAGATGCAAACAAAATATCTTAGCTGTTAAGGATAAAAATGCAACTTATGAAAAATGAGTCAAACATGCGATGTTAGCACAGCAGAAAGGTGTGCACACACACGAAGTAAAATGCGAAATGAAATGCAACATGCATATGTCTGACATAAGTGTGCAAGCACACATCCATCGTGAACACACATGAAATGAAAATGTAAAAGGCATAAGCCTGACAATTGAACACGTGGAGGACAAAAAGAATTCCAACTTTTTGTTGGACCACAAACATATCTTTTCTCTTTCTTGGGGGACTACAGACAAAGCCTTACAACCTTTTAGGACCACATAAGGAAATTGTGACACATGTAAAGTTAGGTCACACAAGAATATCGTGAATCAAAATAAACGTGATAGGCAAGACAACAAAGAGAAAACGCCACTTGGAAAAATGTGTCACCATAACATAAGTTTGACAAAAATATCAACAAGAGAGAATACGACTGTCACCAACTTGGCAGATTCAGGTTTTCTCTATGAGTGAATGGGAGCCGTACACTTGTCCAAGCCCCAGGTAACTTGAGGAAATATCCTAAGTTAACAGCCAATGGGAGGCAAGGAAAGACTTGCACGACACCTACCCACTTACAGATTTGTAATCATTACCTTGATTTCCTATACTATAAATAGAGGACTCCCCCTTTCATTTTCAAGATTCTGATACAAAAACCTTCATTCTAATTGTAATCTATATTCCTAGAGCAAAGATAACCTACGAGAAAGAGACTGACTTGATATTCTGTCTAAATAATCAGTCATTATACCTCTACTCCATGTTCGCTATACGCGACCTCTTGTAATCTCTTATATATAAGATAACAATAGATGTAGGATTCGCTTTTAAGTATCCGAACCACTTTAAAAATCGTCTTTCATTTATTATTCAGTCTTTGCATTAGATCATTTACAATTATTCACATGTAACTTCTAAGAGCAGCTTATCATTTTGCACGTACGAGTTGTTAGTGTCAAAATCAAACATCAACACATGGCAAGCTACCACTTCAATATTATATATCGATTGACAATTACATTTAATCTTTTAGTGACTTTAGCCCAAGTGAAGTCTTCCTTGTTCATTCAATTTCTCTATTTATTTTTTATTTTATTTTCTCTATTGTGAGTAATTTTTTTTTTTTTAATTTAATACTTATCTAGTTAAAAAATTAACAAAAATTGTATATGCAATTATAAGATGAGATACCATATTGCATATAATATATATTTACCTTATAATTAAATAATTGTATATATATTTGTTGTTTGTACGAATGACTTTTAAACAAGACTTATACATTATTGCAATGAGTTGTTTATCTGAAATTGCAATTAATATCGTTCATATAAGACGGTAATGCGCAATATACAATGCATGACCGACAAGCCAATTAATTGGATGTATGGACCGACTATTACACTTCATCTCTATTAGGGCATTTCTAACCCATGCTATTTTGGTGGGTTGTTACTCCAACTCAGCGCTGAGCACCATGCCATCAATTTTTTTTTTTAATTTTGTTAAGTTAATTTGAGTATTAAATTTTACACCAAAAATCACACCAAATTTGATTATTTGTATTTAATTTAATTTGATTATAATTTATAATAATGATATAATTCAAAAAATGATGAAAAATTAAAAATAAAACTTTACTCAATGCAAATATTAAACTCAATAACTCAAAATAAAAATTAACACTAATTTAAAAACATTAAATCTAAACAGCTTGAATGGACAATACATCTTTTTTAGCTTGAATGAATAATATATATTTTGAAATAAGCTATAAATCTAAAAAGCTTGAATAGACAATACATCTTTTTGAATTAGCCACAAATCTAAAAAGCTTGAATGGACAATACTTCTTTTTTAATTAGCTACAAATCTTCGATTTCGAAATTTTCTTGCTCGACATAAATAAATCAAGGATACAGAGGCTCACCATGCTCTTCGAAATGCATTAATTGATCATTTGTGGGAAGAACATACTAATTCGAAAAATTAAATTACTATCAATATGAAATTTTACCTTTATGTTGTTATTTTTTTTTTTTTTTTTTTTGGTATCATTTTTATTAGATGTAATGTTTTTCTATATTAAATGTAATAATTATTTGATTAAATAAATACTTATTTATTTATTAAATTAGTATAATTTTTAAAATAATAATTATTTAATAAAAATATCATTCATAATATTTAATTAATATATACAAAAATAATGAGTGAAATAGATTAATTGTTGATTATTACAATAAGAGAAAAAGAAAAAGAATATTCTAAAAAATATTTTTTTTAGTGTAATATTTGATATAGTGGATTAAGGATAGAATAGTATTTTACATCCAAATTTGCATCAATTTAGTGCAATGGGTTGGAGATGATCTTAGAGCCTCTAGCCTTGCCATCCTGGACAAAGGTTGAAGACAAGCTTGGCCCCAGTCATCGTTAATAAATAAATCTTCTCAAAGCACTCCCCTCGCAATTTGTCCACGTACTTATTTTATTTTTCACGGTCGGCTTTATAAAGCTTTTACCACCTACTTTATCGGAATGGGATATTTTTTTAACTAATAAATTTTTACCACCGTTGGTTTTTAACTGTATCAGATTCTTTCAAATTAAACATGTGTGAAGTGTGCATATAAATTACGGCGAGGAGGCAGAGGAGAAACATATTATGAAAGAGAGATCAGAGAGATATGCCGCAATTACATAACACATGCATCCCTGCTGTGAGGTAGCTGTGACTTTCGAGAGGAGGAAATCAACTCAGGTCAGGATACTATCATGTTCATGTTGCTCTTAACCTTTACTAAAACTACACAAGCATGCTCTTAATTTTCATTTGCTTATTTATCCTTTTTTTTTTTTTTTTTTGTAATTTTCGTTTATCAAATTCAAGATTAATGCATTCCGACACTAGAAAAAGCTTCAAGTGAGTGAAACGATACCTCCAACACCAATGTGATCAAAGTTTGGAGATCAATCAATTGGTGTTGGGGTGTAGTAGTCTAAATCTTGGACAAATATGTTTAGAATTGTTGTCTCTTTGGTTTGGTGTTAACAATGTACCATTTGTTCCTTTTTCAAGCGTTTGGTATGACAATTATTCTATATTACCATTACAAATATAATAGTCAATTCTTCCCAATTCCAACATTACATGTGAGCGGGATTCGTTCCAGGAATCTGTACCCACATATTTTTAATTTAAATCTTTGCAAGTGATATTAATATAAATTATTTATTTGTGATTTATGACAGATTGCACATTATTCTGAAAGCTATTTAAGGATATAATTACCTCATGCATGCAACATGATTTTCTTCTGGGGGGGTTGATTATTTTGAGTGTTGTATTTATCTATTTATTTTTTTTGTTGACTATTGTTAGTACGGTTTATCAATAGGGCAAAGAAATTGGAGATAAGTG